CGGACGCCAGAAACTCTGGCGTTTAGGTCCGAAACATATGGATAAACAACAGGTGCAGTGCCACTGTTGTTGCCAAACCAGCGAGATCACTCGGTATTACCACGATTAACTACCTGACTAACAAACTTCTGGTTACGTGCATGCAACACTTCCACGTAATACCGAGTGATCTTGCTGGTTTGTAACAGTGGCACGACACTTGTTGTTTACCCTTAGGCGACTGCTAGGCGTCGGCGCGGGGGTCGAAAATTTCGGACGGTCGGCCCCCAATCCTAGGATTAGGCCACCTCCAACCGTTAATTTCCCTGCATAATCTTTTCCCCTTCACATCTGGCTCAGCGTTGACCAGCAACTCCCATCCATGGCGGACTCCTTGCTCGCCGCTGTCGATGCACATCCAGTCTTCCTTGGCCGCCTGTGCTTGCCGGCCAACGACGCACCCGTGCTCGTCGCCCCAGCCGCCCGTGCTCACCGGCCATCCGCTCTCGTCCTTCAACGGGTCACCGTCATCGTAAGCAGGCCTGCTGCCTCCGATGCAGTACTGAGATGTCGCCGTCCCAAGCATCATGTGGTAGTTTGTAGCGTCATTGACGAGGACACGGCAACCTCGGCCGCTGGTTGCAGCATCCCAGACTGCCCGTGGTAGTGAATCCGATGGTGTCATGTGGCCATCCGACACTGGTCCTGGCTCCAACAAAAAAAGATGCTGGATGTAGCAAATTATGTTGCTGGATGCAGCTCTGTCGCGTCGATGCTCGACTAGTTCCAGCAAATAAAAAATGCTGCCAGTAGCAAATTTATATACCAGTTGTATCCTTTTTTCACCCTTTTTTGCAGCTCTGTCGCGCCGGCGTTCGTAGCAAATGGACGACTGGTTCCAGCAAAAATAAATGCCGGATGTAGCAAAATAATTCGCTGGTTCCAGCAAAAAGATGGATCCAGCAAAATATCAAAGAGAGGAGTTTGTAGCAAAAATCAAAGATAGTGGCAGCAAAAAAAAGGACAATGGTAGCAAAAAAATTGGAATTGGTTTCAGCAAAAAGAGATGGATCCAGCAAAAAGGTAAAAAATTGAAAAGACGGTAGTAGCAAAGAACATCTATGGTGGTAGCAAAAAACCTATACGGTGGTAGCAAAAAATAAAGTTGGTTCCAGCAAACAACACCCTCAATTTCGGATCCTAAAGAAAAGTTACTGATTCCAGCAAAACAAAACCCACTTGTTCAAAAATTGCCGCCGATTGTAGCTCCCGCTGAGGCCGGTTCCAGCATCTCGTCCGCCAACTTGGTCTGGGGCTGACGAGCTGCCATGGCGGAGGAGCACCAGCTACTCGACGAGCTGCCATGGCTGGCCGACGCTTGTCGCCGGTGGTGGAGAGTAAGCACCTGCAGATGGAGGGAGAGGCAGGAAGCGGAGCTCGTGGACCAGAGATGTGTTCGTTCGTGAGGAAGAAATGAGTGGATCTCATCGTCCGTGAAGAGATAAGGGAAAGGGGATGTGGGTCGTGCGGTGCATGGCCCACCTGTAGACAAGTATGTGCATGCGTGAGCGGTGCGGCCCGGCCGAAAACTGAGTCGGTCGACCGGTTATAAACGTTTCCCTTACTCTTATGTTTCGGACCTAAACGCCAGAGTTTCTGGCGTCCGGCCTTTGCCACGTCGGGATTAGGAGAGGACGGGCGATGGCTAGACTTTATTAGCATCCAAAGAATCAGCAGAGGAACGGTGGCAGTTAGGTTAGGGCATCTCCAGCTGTTGGCCCCCCAGGGGGCATCTAAAAGCGCCGCCTGGGGGTGAGCCAGCGCAAAAGATGTCCCTGGGCGAGTCGGTCCCTAGCCATCGGCTCCAGGGCCGCCTCCAGACGCGTATTAAAAAAAAGGACCGTTCGGCGAAGTTATGATAAAAACTAGTTAAATTTCGGTCAAACATGGCAAATTTCGGCGAAATTCGCGCATATTCATTACATTAACCTAATCTAAAAAAGAAAGGGGCTGAAGTCGTCGCCGCCGTCGCCGCCATCGTCGTCGTCGGCCTTCTCCTCCTTGACGCGGGCGCCCCTGCTAGACCCCTGCCCGGCGTCGCCATGGCGGACTGGCGGCGGCGCGTCGTCGTCCTCGTCGCTGTCGCATAAGACGACGACCCCGCCTTCATCGCGGCCGCGTCGGCGCTCCTCGAAGCGGCGTAGGGCGGCGCACTGGCGCTCCTTCTCCTTCTCCCGGCGCGCCTTCTCCATCGCAATGGAGTCCTGGCGCGCCCATTCTAGGGCCGCGTCGTCGTCCTCGAACTCCGTCTTCACTAGCGCCAGCCCCGACTCCGTCTTCACCGGCGCCAGCCCCGGCTCCGTCTTTGGCTTGACGAAGCACGGAGGAGCCGACGAGGGGGAGGCGCGCCGGCCGCCCTCGTTGATGACGATGCCGGCGCCGCGAGTGCGCCGGCCGAGCGGCGTCTCCGCCGCGGGCTCCGCCTTGACGCCGAGCAGGGCCGGAGTGCCGGAGGAGTGCGACGAGGATCGGGAGGAGGAAGAGGAGGAGGAGGCCCCGAACCTGCTTGGCGCCCACAGCCCGGCGCGTCGGTGCTGCGCCGGGGCGGCCACCCTCGCCGGGGGGTACGCCAACGGCGGGTCGTTGCCGCCCTCGAGGTACGTGAGCACGCCCTCGAGTGTGCGGCCGGGGACGCCCCACCACAGGTGGAGCCCCTCGCAGTTCTGCCGGCCGCCGACCACCGGCGCGCCGTTGGTGGACGCCAAGCGCTGCTGCTGGCGGCGCTCGAAATACGCCGCCCATGCCGCATGGTTGTCGGCGGCGTACTGGGGGAGGGAGAGTTGCGCGTCGGTGAGGGAGACGCGCACGACCTCGACTTCCTCAGCGAAGTACTTCGGCTTCGCCACGGCGTCGGGCAACAGGGGAATGGGCACTCCCCCGACGCTGAGTCTCCACCCCGTCGGCCCGGCGCGCATGTCCGGCGGCGCCGGGATGTTCGCCTGGAATAGGAGCCAGGACTCCTGTTTGCGGAGCGAACGACGGCCGAAGCCGTTGGCCGCCGCCTCGTCTCCGGGGAAGCATTCTGCCATGGCGACGGCGGGGCTGGGCGGGCTCGGGAGAGGTAGAGGGAGGGGCTGGGCGGCGGCACTCGGGAGAGGTAGGGAGAGGGAGGGGCTGGACGGCGGCGAGGGGCGGGGCTGGTGTGGGCACAGGCGAGTGGAGGCCACCGGCTTTTATAGCCGCGCCGCGCCTGTGTGTACGCGTGCGAGGGAGGGGAGGCGTCGGCGCGCCGTCCCGTGACGCGCCGCCCGTGAGGAATCAATGGCAAGGCTGACCGGCGGCAGCCTTGCCATTGATTCCCCGCGGGAACCGAGGCTGTTGGGGGAAGACGAGGCGCCGAGTCACTGACGCGGCTAGCCCGCGGCTTTTTCGCGCCAAAACAGCTCGCCCCGGCGCCCCCGGACGCCCCAGCGCGCCGGGTTCGGCCTGGGTCCGCCGGCGCTGTTTTCGCCCAAGCCGGCGAAAATCGGGCTCCTGTGGGCGCGACTGGGCCGTTTTTTCGGCGCCGGCGCGAAAAAATCACCGGAGGAGGCCTTCCTGGAGGCGCGGCTGGAGATGCCCTTAGAGAACATGGGGAGTTCCTCAAAATAGATGGTTTCTATTTTTAATTTTTCTCTGATTAGATATAAGATCTGAACGCTGGTGATGAATTGTGTCCACTGCTAATTACGTCCAGGTTGGGTCAGGTTTACGTGCAGTTTGGGCCAGGTTGGGTCTTTTTTTCATGCAACAGTAACGTAAATTATGGTGTTAGGATAGATCAACTGTTAAGATATTTTTAATGATGTGGAGGCTCATATGGGGCCTCCAATTAGTAAATATAAGAGATTGATAGCTACCAGTGGAATATTCACATTATTTATAGCTTGTTTTGAGAAATTGTTCATTCAAATCACGAATCAGTACAGAGTAGCTGACCCTTACAAGCACACTGAAACGTAAAAACAAAAGACCATGGACACTTAGAGTACCCTAAGACAACCATAACACAAAAAGATCTCCGGAGCCCTGTGTCATCATCCCTGAATCTTGAGAGAAGACCTTTGCAACAGAAGGATATGCAACCAGTCGCAAACAGGTCATCATCTTTGACCACGGTACAATTGCCGCCACGCTGGTTCCTCCTTTCTTGACACCAGCGCTGGGAGGGCATGGACATCAATCCAACACACCTGCAACAGCCGTCATCATCTTTGGCTTTGAGTACCGCGAGAAGTGTCCCTTCCGGAAGGAAGAGAACTCGACTCATCCGACCGGTCCAGCACCGCGGCCGGGCCATCGGCCCGGGCAAAGCAGGATCTCCCATCAGTATCAGCATAGAGGAAGGAGAAGAACAGCGGCAGCAAATCATACCAACAAGGAAGAAGAAGGGTCTTCGTCTCCCTGAATCCATCGCCCATCTGAGGACCCAAACGGCCAGTGCCGATGGACCTCCAGCCACCAAAGCCCGCAAACCTCGACGAGACCCGGGGATCCCAAATCCACTGGCTCCTAGACGAAGACAAAAGCCTCGCCTGAACGCGAACGGAGCCCGGAGAAACTTATTCTGACACGACACCCCCTCAATGGCCTCGGCAGCGTCTCCCTGAACCCTAACCCTACCACACACCCACCTAGCGAACAGACCCGAGGTTCCCCCTCCCTCCCGCCGCCGGAGTGGCCGATGGAGAGAGAGGGAACCGGAGGTGTCACCGGCGGCGCGCAAGGGCCTCGTCGCCTCCTGATCGCCTCGTGCGATCCGATCCTGACGAGGTCTGTTTCACATTATTTGTGGCTACCAGTGCGTGTTGGGGAACTGCTCAAAACAAGGTCCAAATGGGTGTTTTATTGTGCAGGAAATCAGGAGTAACAAATTTGGCCTAGCAAAAGGGAAGCTCAAAATAATAGATTACAGATCCAAAATCAAATTTCTTGTCATGCATGCAACTAATTTTGGCATGTGTTAAGTAATGCCAATTAGCTTACAGTACGAAGATCAACTGTCGGAACTTCTTCATGTGGTCGGCTTGTAAAGAGATGGCGATGGACAAACTCCCGTCATTGTGTGCGCTTGGGAGGACGTAGGCGAGCCCCTCAAATGCGACGCCGCCAGGACCCATGAACACCGGCCGGCCCCATCCGAAATCTGCATTGTGGACGGGCAGGTTCACCCAGCTGGTGATTCCGAGGTTAGGGCAACGGTAGGTTTGTGCTCCTCGGACCAAGGCCGATAAATCAGGTTGCAGCTCAAGGTAGTCCAATGCTGAGCGGCAGTAGTCATCGTTCATCCTATCTAGCTCCATTTGGATTATCTTTGCTGCATCCGCCAGCCCTCTGGTCACCTTGCCTGCCTCGACGATCGGCGTGGCGGTGAACAAAACGTTGCCTAAGAAACCATCCGGTAGCGGCGGCTTCAGCCGTTTCCTCCCATCAATGGCACAATACAACTTGGTGGGCTGATCAGATGGCAGGCCACGTGAAAGACAGACACAACGCCAGACATGCGCAGACAGCAATGTGTACGTGCTCAACCGTGGCATGTCGTCGCCGGTGGGAAGCTGCGAGCGTAAGCGGCCAATGTCTGAGCTGGTGAGCTTGAAGATGTCAACAGCAATGTCAGGCGATGTTCGCTTAGAATTAGAAGAGAGATCCTGGGGCTTGGATGACAACATGGCCGGGGATGGATGGTACTCAACATGTGGGTAACATGGAGTCGGAGGGTCTCGAGCGCGGATGAGGGTGCGGTCAATGAAGGGCATGACTGCAATTTGAGCTCCACGGCAGAGGTTGGACCATGAGTTAATAAAATGCAAGCCGGACATGCCATCAGCGACATGGTGTTGTGTGGCAACACCGAGGGAGACACCTCCACACTTGAAATAGGTCACCTGGTGTACAGTAAAAATGCAAGGATCAAAACACAAGCTGCATTAGTTTCTTGAAAATCATAGAAGTGCACCAAGTGATAAATGAAATTATCTACCCTCCTTAGACCTTGGTTATGTCAGTGCTCAGCTTTTACTTTTTGTTATCTTCGTCCAGCTCTGCATGGTAGTATTCTTTATGCTTGGCTTTTGTATTTCTTTATTGCTCATTAGCCTTTGTGAGAAATATATTTGGCTAGTGAGGACCATGTAATAATCACACCTTTTAGCTTAGGAATTTTACACACCCTTTTTTTAATATACAGTACATATTAGATTTTTTTCAAGTTTTATAGGAAAAAATATGAATATCTATAATATCAAATAGGTAAGAGGCATGGCAATATATTTCATCGGCATTGTAGATGTCGATAAATTTTTAATAACCTTTTTCAAAGTTTACAAAGTTTGATTCGGGGCAAAAGTATGTATGCACTATATATTTACATGGAGGGAGTATGTAGTATGTGCCAGCAAACACACCAAATTCATTAAAAAACACAAAACAGTACTACTTCCGTCCTGGTTTATTAGTCCCCTTCGTATTTTGTGTCAAATTTTGATCATAGATTTAGCTAACAAAATATTAATACATGTCATCAAAAATTATATTCTTGGACTCGTATTTGCACATAGTTTTCATTGGCATAATTTTTTATGACATTCATTGACATTCTGTTAGTTAAATTTATGGCCAAAATTTTACACTAAATACGTAGAAGACCAATAAACCAAGACGGAAGAAGTATGTACCAACTCATGTTATTAGCTTCTCTAATAAAGGCAACCTCCAAGGTGATTGGGCTGTGTGGCCTCAAATCCCAATGATGGACCAAGGACCACCTGAATCTCGCCGTATATATTACTTTAACTGGAGTAGCAGCTATTATATCATTAGCCGCGCACACCAAAAAATTGATCAATTTGTATGTTGAAAGAGTCCATCAGACATTGGTGAATCACATTTCTATGGTTAGGACTTATTCTCCAGCTTCCAATTATATACTCAGCCATCGAACCAACATGTGGTTCGATAGTTAGGAGGGCAATGGTATCCCCAGTTCACCAAAGTTCAAGTCTTAGGCTTGACACTGGTGCTCATATTCTTTTAGATTTATTTCAGACCTTCTGGCGATGTGCATTCAATGACACAAGCTAGCTACATTAGTTTCTTGAAAAATATATGAAAAATCATAGATTTGCACCAAGTGATAAATGAAAATCTCCACCCTCCTTAGACCTTGGTTATGGCAGTGCTCAACTTTTACTTTTTGTTATGTTCATCCGGCTGCATGGTATTCTTTATGCTTGGCTTTACGCTGATGGTCCCGGACAGCTGCATGGAGCCAACAACTGGTTGTACTCTAAGGGCATCTTCAACGCCGATCATCAAACGGCCCGTGCAAATCTTGATCGCGTGGTCCGAACCCTGGAAGCCATCCAACGCGGGTCTATATCGCTCCATTCGGTGGCCCGGAGACACTTTTTTCCGCAAATCGGAGACAAAGTGGGGGGGGGGGGTTGCTGGCGTCCAGACCGCTGCCATGTCTACTTCTGACTGACCAGGCCCACCCAAAAATCCCACCCGCCTCCCCCGCCCTTCCCATCGAACGCCAGCGTCGCTTGCCGAGCCACATTCACGCTGGCTCAGAGCATGCAACGGCTGGCATTAATGCCAATGATTTGACTGGATGGGAGGGTGGCGCTGACGGACATGACCTCTCGGCCGTCGGTGCTTCAATGCGGATGCCACGTCCTGAGAAACCAACTCCGGCCTCTACGTTGCATTGAAGCAGGCTAACCGTCCCTTTGTCTAGTATGGTCGTGCCTATATAAGCCATGTGCCGGCGACGAACAGAGGCGCACTACCCCTCCACGAGCACCGTCCCCTCCCCCTCCCAGTCACCGATCCTGAGCCCAGCGGCAATGCCGAAGTCCTGGTTCTCCGTGCCAGCAGGCACAAGTGGTACAAGTCCCTCCTCAGGTGGATCATCGCGCCGTCCTCGCTCTCTGGGACCACCAGCGAGAAAGAGGTAGCCATCTCTTTCGACGAGGAGGAGGACAAGTAGATGCAGCTGCAGCAGCCACATCTCCTCGTGGAGGTGGCTCTTAGGGACGATCGTCTGTCAGATGGGCCCGGCACCACCATCGCCAGCACGCGTGAAGGAGGAGCCAGTCCATGATGCGCGTTCGCATGAAGCGGGAGCCAACATCCCCACTCCGGCGCGTGAAGGAGGAGCCCGCGTCCTTAGTGCCTCCACCGCATCAAGGACGAGCCAGTGGAGCCTCCCGTCGCACAACAGTTATGCCCGAATTGACGGTCACTCGTCAACATCGCCGCCACCCGATAAATAAGGAGCTGCCGCCCGCGATCATGAAGGTGCATGTCCATATCTTTCACTACCTCAGAGGAGGCATTTATGGTGGTGCCTCAGGCTCGAGGGCTGTCGTATCCGAGGCAGAGCGCGCGGCGAGGTAGCAGGCACGGTACGACCGCCGCAACCCCGCTCGCCGCTCCGCATTTGCCAGGACGGACGTGGCACCGGAATGGGGGACCTCGCTGCCATGTGGGCGCTCGACCGCTCTGTCACCACCACGGTGGCGGCCGTTAGGCGCCGCCACCGCCTTGAGGGTGAGCTCCCCAAAATCCGCAAGGAGCGGTCGCTTAACGACGGCTCCGGCAACGCCGGCAGGGGCAAGGCCGCCGTCGGGGCTTCGCCGGCGCCATCAACAGTGGGCAAGGCGGCCCACCGCACCACGCAACAGGAGGCGAGGCGGCTCCTCTGGGAGCAGCAGGCATCCACGAGCCCTTCCGCCGCTGGAGGGACGACGATGGCGGTGCGGCAGGACCGGGTGGCCATGCGTACGAGGTGGTCGTCCGGTATATGGTTTAGGTTTTATTTTTAGAGTTTCTAGTTGAACGGTGGAAATATCATCCGTTTTATGTGAATTTTATCCGAACTTTAATAAAATCCACCATGTTTGCATGGATATCGTCCATTTAATTGAAACAGTGGTTGAAATATATGCGGGCAGCGTTGAATGGTCGGCTCCCGCATCCATATCCGTAGACTGGTCCGTGTCCACGGACAAACGACGCTGAAGCAAATTTGTGGGCGAGCGTTGCAGATGCGCTAAGCTCCCAATAACTGTAACTGGCATGTTGCAGATGCGCCAAGCTCCCAATAACTATAACTGGCATAAGAAAATGAGCTGACCTGGAGCAGGACAAGTGGGAAGGATATTTCGTCCGTGTAGTCGATAGCCGGATGAGTCGCTTGAGCTCCATGGTGGGCGCGAAGTCACCGTAGTCGGCGATGGTGGCGTCGGGCGCGTCGGCCTCGACAAAGAGCACTCCCTCCCCGTTGCAGTCGATCTCAATCCTCCCGTCCTTGTCCCGGGCGAGGCGGCCGGCCATGGGGTAGAAGGTGACGAGCGCGTCAGCCAGCGCTCGCCGCATCCGGTCGGCGTCGAAAAACCCCTCCGGCGGCCCCTCCTCAGGGGCAGCCTCCTCAGGGCAGCGGTAGAAGTAGACGCTTGGCGTGTGGAAGCGCGGCACCAGCAGGTCGAGGTGGGAGTTCCATAGCCGAGACCGCGGCAACTCCTTGGCTGGCCTCACCATGGTTGCCCGCCTCACTGTCGCCGTGATGCCCATCTATATCTCTACTCCTAATGGACAAATTGGTTGAATAGTTCCCCCCCACTTTCAACCGGTTTAATTTCAACCGGTTTTTCTTCGTCCCACCTCCCACCACCCCCTCCCACCGGTTTTTCTCTTTCTCGTCTGGCCGACAATACCCAACGTATTTATGGTAATCAATCACAATTAATCCACGTATGGTAAGGCTATAAACTTAGAAATCTCAAATATGATAATTATAGTAATAAATCAATCCATGTATGGTAATGCCATAATCTGGCTGACAATATCCAACGTATTTATGGTAATCAATCACAATTAATCCACGTATGGTAAGGCTATAAACTCAGAAATCACAATTAATCAATCACAATTAATCCACGATTAGGGTAAGGCTGTAACTAAGGAAATTTCAAATATGGTAATTATCACCAGAATCAAAGCTTTCCAAAAAAGTTCTTCTTGCCATACCCTAATCGTGACCTTCTCATCCTGAGGCATTATTTTCATCTATTTCTCAGCTGAATCAGAACTTTCCAAAACTTTGTCTGAGTAAATCACAATTTTCCTTCCTTCCCTATCATCTCAATCGAATCATGAGCTATAGGTAAGTCATTTCGTTCTCCACCTCGCACGGGTTGTACTGATTTTTATCATGGTTTGGCCCCCTGCCGTACAAGCCGCTTGATTCCTCATCCCTCGCTCAATTCCTCCACCCTATCTTCTTCTTCATGGTGAGCGACCCAGGCAGCGATGCGTGCCCGTTATGCATCAGCGAGGAGGACCAGGAAATGGTGATTGCCAGCCCCGCGCTCGTCATGTGAACCCGTTCACCGTCAGGTCATGCTGGTGTGTTACGGGTGTAGGTGCACCTTACCTTAGCCATGGAGGTTTGCCGGTGGACAACAGAGGCCTCGCCATGGACACCAGTATCCCTCTCCTCTTCCTGCGCCCTACATCTCCTTCCTCAGTCTCTACCTCTCTCTCTTTTTCTCTGTTCCAGGAGATCTGCAGCCGACGCCGCATGCCCTGCCCGTTCGCTGCCGGTCACCTCGCCTCGCTGTTCGATCTCACCGCTGGATATGCACGACTCCGCCGCCCTGTGCCGTCCTCATCGGGCACCATCATGGCGGCGCAAACACTGTATGCAGTGGCTACAATCAGCGGCGGATTCAACGACTCGGAGTCTAGCGAGTAGCGACCCAGCGGGCAGCGGCTGTGCTGGTCGCTGTCTGCCGACGAGGCGTAACGGCTCGGGCCTAGACTCCGAGTTCGTCATGGCGCTCGGCGCAACTTCCCTTGCGCCGGCTGACTCATGCATGCATCTACAATCTAACTAGCTAATTCCTCCCTTTGACTGCTATTTTCTCTGGTTGTACTGTTCCATAGCTTAGGCATTTAATATTTTGATGCAAGGTGGAGGTGGGGGAAGAAAACAACAAGAAGAAGGATTGTGGGAGGAAGTGGCGTGTTATGTGGCGGCTGAGAAGAGGGAGGGGCATGAAGATGACGAGGAGATGCATTTATCTACCACGTCATGAGCATGAGATATCATCACATGTAAATAGTATATGACTCATATCACACAGCCTTTCTTTTTGTAAAAACATTTTGTTAGCACATTTCTTGTTGTACATATAGTTTTTTTAGCATGTGGCAACACATGGGCATCCAACATATGGATGGAGGTGGAGCTTATTGATGACTAGGAAAGATCTCTGTAGTTATTTGTTGTTTTGTGTTAATTGTTGTTTTGGTGACTAGGGTTTTTGTGTTGAATCCGGATGTTACAGATATTGCGGATAGCCCGTAGCAACGCACGGGCGTTCAGCTAGTATATATATATATGTCGACCGTAAATTGACAGCAAAATAAAAATAGAGAGCGCAACTGCATGCATCAGCCAGAGAAGAGGATCAAGGAGGTACATCGGCTGACCTTAACTGGAATGGAAGAAGAGGATACAATACCTTTGGCGGGAGAAGAACTAGTGATGGTCCTTAATTATACAAGGCAAAGGCAAGGCAAGGCATGTACTAGTGATTCCCTTGACTGCGTCCGTCTACATACCTCAGCCTAAGGATGACACACGTAGCAATCAAGCTGGCATCAATGGGGCTCTCTCTAAACCTCGTCCGTCCACATGACCCACCTCACTTGACGTGCACCACGTGGGATGTACGATGCTACCACAAGCATCTGCATCTGCATCTGCATCTGCATAGTAGAGTACTATTATTGCGGAGGGTATAAATGGACCACGTACGATGCAACTTGCGCCACTATGCTACAACGCTTGATAGATGGAGGAGGATGTATCGTCCATGCACTAACCATGCGCCGACGTGTCACTCTATCGTCCCTCATACATTAGCAGTACGTAGGGAGTTTCGTCGGTGGAAAACTTCAAGGCTAGAGCATCCACAGTGTCTAGAGGCAAGGTTGCCTTTAAACTGGGACCCATGGTCCTGCCTCTTGTTCTAGTGTCAGAATTGTACCTATAACTGAATATTATATGTTGCCTTTACCTAGAAACTCATGGCTTCCACATACAACTAAGTGGCTGACAAGTGGGAACACTGAAATATTTTATTCGGCAAGGAGAGTTAGAGACGGGCGCTAAGGTTGGAGGCGTCTCTAAGCCTTTTTTTTAGAGGCTGGGGATGCAATGTATAGAGGCAACCTTTATACAGGGAAAGTATCAGGTGATACGGAGCTTTAGATGCTCCCATGATACGAGCTTCTAGGAGATCCAACGGCTTTCAAAAGGCTTTCAACATTTTATGAAAAAGACCTTTTGAAGTCTAAAAATTGTGAACAAGTACGGCAACCTTTCAGAACCTTCTAGGAGCCATTGGATCTGAGATCCGACGGACCAGAAGCTCGTATCATGGGAGCATCTAAGGCATGGTATCACCTGATATTTCCCCCCTTTATACATCTGGAGGCAACCTTAGAGGCAGCAAATATATCTGGAGTCTGCCTAGTCATAGATGTTCCCATTTATCAGGGTTAGACGAAGCTTCTACTTGGACCACTACTAGTACTAGCAGCTGCAAGGGCAAGTTTAAACTAGCTAGACCACCATCTTACCAAAGAAAAATGGGTTAATTATCATTTTGCCCCCAGTGGTGTCCATGTGCTCAGTTTTGTTCTCAGATGCGAATTGTGCTCAGTTTTGCCCCTAGTCCATGCACAACTACTGTGACGAGGCCAAACGGCCATATTTGAGTCCATTCCGTCCGCCGACGTTAGTGGTTGTGGGTCCGGATCATACACGTGGGACCGCGTGGACGTGGGTCCGGAGCTGACATGTAGGCCCGTGCAACTAAATCACCAAATCATTCGTAGGATTCTAGCTCACTCTGCCCATCCACCGGTCGGCTGTCCTGCATCGCCGCCGCCACCACCTGCGCCGCGGCCAGCACCTGCCCCGCCACCAGCTACACG